AATAACTTATACCTGGGTACGGACTCGGTTGTCTGAATCTTGGTGCATCCATGTACTGCGCGACGGTCCAAGTTTCGCTAATCGTGCATTCAATCAGATGCCTCCCATATTGTCAGGAGCATATTCCATTGACCAGTAATTCATTTACTAATCAATTTGAATACTTAATATTTATACATGTTAAAATATAGTTGTTGTTTTCTCCATTTGGTTAACTATTTTCAATCTATCAAATAACTTCTACCTGGGAACGGACTCAGTTCTCTGAATCTGGGCGGCAGTCCAAGTTTTGCTAATCGTGGCATTCAATCAGACCCCATGTGTTCCTGGCGCAAAGAGTCGATGATTGCAGTAATGGGTGCAGTCTTATTACCACTGTTGACGGCAGTTACCAAGGCGCTTTCATTTGTGTAGAGAATATCACATCTATCTCCTGACGATAACTCCAGTCCAGGACAAAGGGAAGCTGAGGTAAAGTAAGATGAATGCAGCCTAATCAACTTGACCAGCAGGGAAAATCGCTGGATAAGGCTAACCTCTATCAGGCTTCCAGGAGGCGGCTGGAAAGAGTAGAAATAGGCCAAATAGAGAGAGATAACATGCTAAGGGAGTTCAGGTCCGCTGGAAAGTACAGTTTGCCGCTCCCGAGTTGGCCTGTTAGAGAGACAAACTGTACTTTCCAGCGGACCTGAACTCCCTTAGCATGTTATCTCTCTCTCTCTATTTGACCGATTTCTACTCTTTCCAGCCGCCTCCCAAAGCCTGGTAGAGGCTAGGATAAGGCACCTCTTAAGAGGCTTGAATATGACACTAACTGTCGTCGCAGAGTATCTTACAATGTAGATCATCAGTGCTGGAAAAAAAATCCCCACCCTGCTACAAATGCTGAAGGAGACGTAGACATCATTATCAAGACATTTGTATGCCTGATCACACATGAAGAGGGAGCGTTAACAAGACACGACGTTCCAAAATGGCCACTCAATAGTTGTCTCTTGTGCTCTGCAGACAGATGAAAACAATTCTATTTTCAGTGAAGATGAAGAAATGGTATTGAACCTGCTTAAGGATAAACAGCATTGTTCGTATAGATATTTAATAATCTTTCTACGACAACTGCTACAGCAGATATCTGCATCAAGACATTACTGTAATGTGAATACGGGATCATCCAATCCTTAACGAGACACGACGTTCCAAAACAGCCACTCAACAGTTGTCTCTTGTGCTCTACGGGAAGATGAAAACCATTCTATTTTCGGTGAAGAAGAACTGGTATTGAAGCTGCACAGGGATATAGGCATCATTGTTTACCACGGATGACTAAGCTGATTATGCCAATTCCCATACTAATACAGACTTCCAAGAACATGTGTACTGAGTGTTTCTGAGTTTTGTACATCTCCTAGGAGAGCCATAATTTGTTGACAAGACTCCCACACGCTCGCAAAAGTGCTTCCGACAAAAGCCCAGTGCAAAGTGCTTTGCGCAAATGTACCGTGTAACCTCTGGAGGCCGATGTCAGTGATGTACAGCCTTTTACGATACAACTTGTTTTTTCTCGCTGCCATAACTGTTTTGAGAACGGCCTTTTGCAGGCTGTAATGGCCACGAAGACCACAAAAAAGTCGTCGAGTGGTTTGCAAGAAGATAAAGATTTTTTTAACGAAAGACTATTATTGTACATGTAACCTTGAACGCACAACTGAGAGAACGTAGAGCTCGTTTCGTTACGTTATACAATTGTGACACGAAAGTGTTCAACTGAATTGCCTCCAAGGAAAGACATCTTTAGTGACCTTACCCTAATGTACTGCACATCTTCCAAGCTTCTAGTAGAACAATGTCAGCAGCAGACCAATATCTTGTCAGATCATCTTTGCTGATCTTCAACACATGAAGACTCTGCAATAGTCTTTTGCAAACGGTCGCCAAGGCTACGAAACACCATTTTGCAGGCAATAATGGCCGGTCTTGAAGATAACATTGTCAGCCATGTATTCTGACCTGCGGCAACTGGATTTAAGAAACTGCCTGAAACTCATAACGTACATCATTTAGCCCATTCTGTACGGCTATGTATAATGCTGATTAGGTTAATTTCCATACGGTAATGCCCAAATGAATATTGACTTTTGAAAATGGACACTTTCAGTGATCCTACATTGAAATATTGCTCAGCACACGTCCTGAGGACTATTACTACAAGTATCCACAGGCTCTTACAAGACAACATGGCTCGCCCCAGGTCATTACGACTTCGAAACACCGTTTTGCGAGCACCATAATGGCCCAAAAGACAACAGAATGGCCATCTAGTGGTCTTTCAGGAAATGAAAATGTCATGATCTCCTGCAAAGGTATTGAAGAAGAGGCCTCGCACCTGCACTTTGTGACGCCCTCAGGCCCATTTACGTTTGCTAGTAAGAGGACGAATCTGCTGATCAGGCCAATGTGCAGAACGAAGTCCCCATCAGAATATTGACTTCCGAGAAAGGCATTGTAAGTGTTGGTAATGTAAATGTAGCAAGAGCTTATGCACCCGCTTACACGATGTAGGTCATTATAGGACTCCTGAGCGTCATTTTGCAGGCAATGATGGCCGAAAAGACAACAGAATGGTCTTCTATATCCGTACGTTACAGATAAAATCTTCAGGAAGATCATTTGGAGCCGCATTTTGGACAGCACAAAGCTCATTTAAGGCATTTTCATGCAACATGTGTCTACTGTACAATACAGTCACGTGTACTGTACTTTTCCTAGTTGACTTACGAACAGACATTTGGAACCGCTAATGGCCAGAGAGACCACAGAGTGGCCATTCTGTGGTTAGTGAAGAGATAATGGTGATCTCACTTGCGGTCGAAAGTCTTTTGGGGAAAGGCCTTGAAACTCCCATTGGGGAAACGTGCAGCCCATATCTTTGCCAGAATGGACTCATGTTGTAAGGTTGGCATCTGAGGTTGCGTGCCTTAAGTGTTTTAGGAAACGCAAGCTACATGAAGATGGCAGTACAAGGGTCCGTGAGGAGTGTGTTACTCAAAGTGGAGTGTGTATTGTTTTAAACATTACACAACATGTTTCATTTCAACATTGTATGCATAGAATTGACTTGTACAGTATATATATGCACGTTTTGCCACCAAAATGAAATGTGCAGTAATACTTCGTTTCCATGTTGTCGTTTTTGCAGCATAGGTTTTCAAGGTGTTGCAGTTGCGGTTGCTTTCGTGTCACCAGATAGTGAGAGCAACCAGCCAACAGACCCTAATCATCAATTAAGGTAAGTACTCAACTCCGCATAAACATCTGGCTATGGATTAAACATTCCTGTCCTCACAACAACATGTTAGTGGAATATTCCAGACCGAACTTGAAGCAAGGAAGGTACAAAAACCTTGCTTCTGGTTCAAGTAGTTGAAGTTGTTAATCTAGGATCTCGTTCCCCATGGGTCCTCCGATTATCAAGCAACAGCACGGTAAGTACTCATTGCCGAATAAACATCTGGTAGATATTGATTAAGATACCCTGTCATAGAAACTACATGTTTGTGGAATATTCCAGACACAACAAGCAAGGAAAGTGAAAAAAAAACTGTGCTTATGGTTAAAGTAGTCACAGTTGTTCATCTGGGATCTCATTCCCCATGGGTCCACCGATTACACCAGGTCATACATCACTGTACGACAGGATAAGTGATCGTCAATTGATTGAAAACAGCAGGCTGAGTCTGGAAACTGTAATGGGACAACGTCGTGATTCGCAAACTGATGTGGACGTCCTGACTGTTCGAACCTTTTTCTTTTCTCCAATATATAACGCTAAACTTCGTTAACATCTATCTACTGAGTGTAATTTTGAGTGAGATCTCTAAGTACAGTCAAAGGCTATGCACAGTTTAGATACAGTTTCAGGGTAGAGCCTAGAGGACATATGTGAACTGGTGGAATTATTGTAGTTTCCGTTAAAGCATGCAGAATACCTAAACACAGAATGAACAGTGTTCACTGTTAAGTGGTGAGGGCCAGAGTCTACCCATGAATTCCATGTTCATATGTGCATGGGGACAACATAACAAACATCCTTGAATATATTACAGGCTATCTCAAGGTTGATTTGTATCCAGGTCAAGTTGTAAACCCCGCATGTGTAACTTGATACACGGGAAGTGGCGCGTAACGAAATTTCCGCTCGTAAAAATCTCCCGTAGAGTGAACGATCGGGCTCCTATAAATAGCACACTTAAGATGCACTCCACGCCACGTCTGGTCCAGCCGCCATACCAGGGGTGCAGATCTAGATAAACAGGTTTGCCTTTTTTTTTTCATCCCTCCAACAGGTGAGTTTGACAGCGTCGACGCCAGACGCCGTCTGTGCGTGAGGTGTGTGACGTCGGCGGGGATGGAAATCCGGTTACGTTCATCACCAGGGGCGACGACGGTAAGCCTGATCACGTGAGACGTTTCGAGACTCGCGTCCCATGCCAGTTCCACTATTCACATACCGGCAAACAGAGCAGGCTGGGCTGAAACGCTGTGAGGAAAGAAGAGGCTCTGATATATAGGATTCTGTCCAAACACTGACATCCCTTAAAAAGTGAGAAGAAGCGAGGCTACACAGCAGGTTAGTAGGTTGGGGTGACATCGCTGGGAGAAGAAGAAGTGCTTCGATATATTCATGTAGGATTCTATCCCAAACTCTGACGTCCCTTAAGAAGCGAGAACTGGAGACGCCACCTACGGCAAACAGAGGAGCTTAGCAGGCTGCTGTGAAATTGCTGAGAGGGAAAAAGGGCTCTGCTTTCTAGGATTCTGTCCCAAACCTGACGTTTCCTCATAAGCGAGAAGTATAGAGGCTATCTATGGCAAACAGAGGAGCTTAGCAGTGTGGGGTGACATCGCCAAGAGAAGAAGGGCTCTGATTTCTAGGATTCTATCGAGACCCTGACGTCTTCAAAAGCGAGAAGAAGAGAGGCTACACACAGCCTATAGCGAAAGATTACTCTTACTGCAAGGAACAGAGAGAAAAGGGTGACAAGAAATATGGCCTTCGTGTGGCAATATCGACGGGCAGCCTTGCTGTGTTTCATGCTCTTAGCCCTGAGGTCCGAGCCCGATACATCCTCACCGGGCGGAGTCAGAACTGCGGCGGGGAAGAAGACGGATGTCTGGCCGAGGAAACGCGTGGCACGAGTCGATGGGGACGTGATCCTCGGCGCCTTGTTCCCCGTACACTCCCGCTCCGATGTCCACACCTGCGGGCCCATCATAGAACAGGAGGGCATCCAGCCCTTAGAGATGCTGCTCTTCACCTTAGACAAGATCAACCAGAACTCTACCTTCCTTCCGAACATCACGATCGGCGCTAGGATCCTGGACAGTTGCGACTCTGATGCCTACGCGCTTGGGCAGGCGGTGGAGTTCATCAAGGGAGCCATGACTGATGCAGGGGACTCCGAGTACGTGTGTGTGGACGGGAGCTCGCCAGTGGTGAAGGAGCGGCATCCCATCGTCGGGGTGATCGGAGGGGCGTCAAGCGTGGTCTCCATACAAGTGGCCAACCTGCTCCGGCTCTTCAAACTGCCACAGGTGGGTGGTTTGTTCTTTCTCTTACCAGTCCATACCTGTTGCACACTGACACTGTTACATCACGTTTCTAAGATGCATTATGCTCAGTAGGGATTGCTAGATATATTTTAAGCACATCTTTTAAAAATCTAATTCTTTATTCAATATTCACAATAATTGTTTGACGGTGAGTGTGACAACTTTGCTACTCTAGATACTGGTACACATGGAGTTATAGAATATTTGTTGACCAATGTCAAGTCCAAAAGTAGCAACTAGTGTGGTTTATTGTTACTGTCACCTGTTACATACTGACACTGTTATAAGACGTTTTAGGGGGCCCTTTATTCGGTAGCAATTGCTAGATTTACATGTATTTTCAGCACATCGCGAATGCATAAAAATTGTCAAGTTATAGCTGCTGCTCTATTCACAGGGAAACTGCAATTCATATTCATCGATTTTCTAGGCCGCGCCGCAAAAAGAAAAACGCAAACGGAGTGGTAAATAAAAAACGATTGGAATGTAATTTCCTGTGTGAATTGTGGGAGGCCTGTAGAGGAAACTGCTTATATTATCAATAACACCAAGGCCGTAGCGAATTTCCCAAGCGAAAGCAAAGAATCATAAACATTGCAAATATTGAAGGGGTTTTCTTATCGCAACGGCATGAGAATCGAATACTAAGTAGTAGTTACATATCGATGCAATGCTCTTATCAGGATAGCATTTTAATCTTATTAAAATTGACAGTAGCCATATATCAGCCAATTCACATTTTATCGATTTGCGTTACAACACATCGTGTCACATTTCATAAGATCGATACTAGGCTATATAAAATGCTACTTAATTACAGCATATAGAATAGGTTATTTAACGGCAGCTGCTCGTTACAATTTGATATGCTGCACTTTGGTAATCTTTGAAAAATTGTGCAGTATAGGTATTACTGGGATGTCAGACTATGTACAGTATGTACAACAAAACATATGGTGCCGAGAACAGCCATTTTCAATTACATTAGACCAAACTGGAGCATCCATGTTTTATTATTGACCATGTTATTGTGACACATGTTTATCAATTTAGTCAGCCCGCTTGTCAAATTCGTCAGGCCAATACTTAACCTTTTGTGGTTCTTGAGAAGAGATTATTAATCATCGGAAATCAAATCAAGTTAATTCATTTTTTTCATGTATCTCATATTTCACAGCATTTTCCCATGTACCAAACCTGTCATGTCAAGTATCCTTCCAAACCCAATATTTGTCAGAACCGTCCCAGATAATCCCAGAGATCCTGATACCATAGGCGACAGTTCGAACGGTTTCTCTTCCAGCAGAGGTTTAGGTTTTAGCTTATTTTTGGCGTGTTTTAGACGCTTTTTTATCGAGATTTCCTTTTTGCACTGGTAGATTTTTGTATGCCAATTCATCTGTGTGTAAAAAAGGGTTGGCGTGAAAAGATACCAGTGCAAAAAAAGAAAATCCGATAAAAAAAGCTAAAAACATGCCAATATAAAGCCAAAACCCAAACCTTTGCTTAAACAGTAGGGCAGTTTCTCATCATCAACACAAACTGTTCCGTCCAACAGCGAGCGACCCTCGGATCGAAAGGTCGGTACCGCCAGGGGTCCGGGATGTAAGATTTACAGGTTTCGGCTGAGGAGGTAATGGAGGTTAGCAGGGGTGAACGGCAACATTATAGACGTGTTATGTACGGGGGAGAACTGCAGAACGACATTTTTCCAATGGCAACATTCTCAAAATCGATTACAATGTACTATGTATGCACACTTTACTTGTACAATGCATTGACTAGTTGCTGTAGGCAAACTGGGGTATCATGTCTTAAAGATAAAGACATGAAAAGACAAGCTTACATTTAAATTTTTTTTGCAAGAAGTCCAGAGATTTTAATCAAGCAGTATTCATAGAGATTGTTCTGGTAATTGCAGTCAAGACTTTGGTGCCAACGAAGCACTAGTTGAGCATCTTATATACTGACTTTTGCATTCTCTACAAAAGCAGCAATCTGCTATGTTTATTGTTCTTGACACTTGAATCGTAGAAGACTTTGGTTGTGGGGGTTGTCGACGATATTTGCTTTAGTATCGCTGCTGCAAGTTGTGATCGTAAACTGGAAAAGGAATTTGATCTCGATCCAGTTTTAGCTCAGTAAAGAACTATTCTACCATTATTTGTGACAGAGAAGACAGACGCTATGCACTGTATGTACAGGTAAATCTACACAGCTTAACTACAAGTTCCTGCCACCAAAACTTGGCCCACTGCCTGGTGTATCCCTCCCATTATCCGCAGCAGGGTGACCGCGGGTCATCGGTGTGAGCAGACCTGGTCGATACCAGCTGTCACCACCGTCTGGCTGACCATTTGTCACAGCAGCCAGTTTCATTCGATAGTTTTGATGGAGTAGAATAGATCACGGTGGAGATAACCTCTCGGAATGCTAAGTGAAATAACCACAGTCATTTCAGCACCCTGGAGAGGTATACAGATTCTAGTGTGCGTCGTGCCAATCATTCTCGTACACCCATACTTCCTGCTTTTAATTTTGATACACTTAATGGTTATTAGATAGCATTGGCAACAAACGGTAGGTAAAGAGTAAGCAACACAGTGCGGCAATGTTTAACCTTTGAAAGAGTTATACAAGCTTTCCTGTCCATCAGTGGCCATGCCAATGTCTAGCTTATTTCTTAACATATTTTTTTCCTTACAACAAATAGGCGGTAAAGTATGGAAGAGTATACAACGCAACATGTTTTAACCTTTGCAGTTGTCAGATGATTGACGTATTTGGGCCTTGACATTTACAATGAGATGGATAGGCGGAGTAACATTAGGTTTGCTTTGCCGGTATGGTTATATGAAAAAATGCCCAACACAAATAACAGTTCGCTTTTGTAGTCCAACAGCGTAGGCTTCCTTGAACTTCATGATACAAAATTGTAGAGATAATATCGTTGGCATACATCCCTTCTTGGATACCTTCCAGCAGTGCAATAATACAAATTGGAAGGATTATGCCAAATATGTCCCAAAGACATACTCATAGATTGTAATGCCAAAACACAGCTGCATGAGATTTGAGATAGACCAAACAATGTGCGCCACTAATGTGTAATCAAGAGACAACACACACAGCAATTAGCCACCTGCTACTAGGTTGATAACTGTAGTAATCTAAGCACATCTTTGCAAGTCAACGAGCCATTCAGAGATTTTGTTGTGTATCTGAACAATAATCACGAACCTCGAGGTAGGTTTACCGTAAAAATGCAGGCTTTTGTTGCAAAAGATAACAAACTGAGATAGACCAGACAATGCTTGCCGGTAATGTGTAATTAAGAGACAACACACACAACAATTAGCCACCCGCTACAACAGATAACTGACTTAATAACTGCAGTAAGCTAAACGCATCTGCAGCGGGATCTGTGTAAGCCAACGAGCCATTATAAGATAGGAGTTATCTTCGTGTATGTGAACGATAATTAGGAATCACAAGGTAGTTTTACCGTAAAAATGCAGGCTTATGTCGTCGAAAGATAACAACCTGTGCAGCAGAGTATGACACTGACATGATAAAGAATAGACAGCTCTAGATCCGTCGGTATCAATATTGTGCATGGTTTAGGATTAGTAACCGTTAGCAGCATCGTACTGCTAACGGTGGTACCCTAGTAGATTACTTGTTCAATTCAGGATAACTTGAGGATACACATAAAAATCATTCCTTGACCCCTACAATATGTTTTAGCAAGGACGATTCTGTTCTGTGATTTGGATTAGTCCATTTTGGCATTGCACTGCCAAAGGCCAAAAGGAGCATTTCATCCTTTCTGTGTCGATCCGAATAGAAAGGGTGAAGTAAACTCAATATACCACAGGTTCACATGTGGTGAATTATTAGAGTAGCATATCTGATATTGGAAGTACATACGCCCTTTGCTCGTGGTGTACCGCTCAGGAAAGCTCAAACTTCACACGGTTGACTTTATAGAGCGTTAGTGTGTTCTACTTTCCCTATCCTTTCTACCAAGAAAGGCATTGAAAATGTGAAATTAGTAGGAAATATTTCTACGTCTTTGCAATAACATAGTAGATACCGTATCTGTGAGCTTGTCAAGCATTGATGTTTCTGAAATAGGGAGAAGAGCTGTTTATCCTGTAGCCTAAAATAGGCCTCTTTGCATTCAAATATACATTGATTTCGACTTTTGTAAAGCATTCTATCTGTTCTGTGTTGATCCGTACGGAAAGAGTGAAGTAAACTCAATATACTACAGGTAAATAATGGCAGTAGCATATCTGATATTGGAAGCACACACACCCTTTGCTCACTGTGTTCCCCTCAGCAGGCTCAAGCTATACGTTCCACCTTTTCCATCTGAAGCTAAGTCTTGTTTTTACCCCCCCAAAAGGCTTTGAAAAGCGATTTAGTAGGAAATATTCCTCAAATTCCAATAACATAGCAGAATCTGATATAGTATCTGTGAGTAGACGTTGCCAAGCACAGATGTTTCCGAATTAGGGAGAAAAGATGCCAATATACCACAGGTTCACATGTGGTGAGTAATTGCAATGCCCAATATCTGATATTGCAAGTTAACGTACATACGCCCTTTGCTCTCGGTGCTCCCCACAGTAGGCTCAAGCTATGACTTACCCATTTGAATTCCGCATAGCACCCGGCCATGTGTGGATTGACTACTAAAGCACGGTTAATGCGCACGCCCATGTAACGGGCAGCTTGTAAAAGACCCCCTGACGTCTGACATTCTCCTGGAGAAGGCGTAGCTGCAGGGTGCTGCTTTGGTTAAGTGCTGTGTCCTTGAAACTTCGTAAAGGTCAACATGGCTGCCGTCTTGTAGTAATGAAGAATGCGGGATCAAAAGCAACTGTTCTGGGTTTAAAATGATCATGTATCGTACCGTGTGTTTGACCTTCTTTTGATTAGTAACAACAAATGCTCATTAAGGATTCTGAGATATT